TCCTGGAACGGAGGGGGGGGCTGCGTACCCCCCACCAACAACCCCCACGGAGGGTGGGAGGGGTGGGGGGCGTCCTGTTTATTTGCGGCGGCCCTTCGCCAAATCTCGGTCAGACTCCCCCCCTACCCCCGGGTGACGTTACAGGCCCCGGGCAGACCGCGTGCGCACGCTCCAGTCGCCTTCCCGGTGCTCCGAGGGTGCCCCTTGACTCGTCCGTCCGTCCCCTACCCGCCACCAAACACTCCTCGTGTTTGCGTTTAAGCGCCAACCTTCTCACCCCCCCCGCCCCCATTCCTCGCTGCTCACATTACGCCTGCCGCAACTACACTACAGTTCATTTCCTTGACCGCGCGCGAAGCATGTGGCTTTCCTAATGGTCTAAGCAGAGCTTTCTACCTCTCCCCCTCTCGTTGTTTGTGCGGACGGCTTCGGCTTTCACGCGTCGTCGTCAGCTCACGGCGAAGAGAATCAAAGTTGCGTGCGAGCGAGCGAGGCGTTCTGGCAAATATTAAGCTATGCGCCCGGTGTCGTCCGCGCTGACTTTCTAATCGCAGTGACTTGGAAACGTGTTCAATCGCAGTCTTACACGCCGATCGCAAGTACGCTTGCTCCCTTTTGGTTTAAAACAAAACAAAGAAAACGCTCAATTCGCACATTTTATTACGTGAATTAGAGAAGTATTTTTTTGGAACTGTTCTTGAAAGTAGCAACTCTCCAAGTAATGACTCACGCCCTGCATACATCTGCTTGGGAATTGCATTCATCATCCTGTCTCAATACTCTACTTGATGAAATCTCCTCCATGCAGCTTGTCCTGCGTGGCTGTAATCCATTCCACTGCCAGTCGAGGCATCATTCTATTACTGTACCGTACTCCACCCTCCCTCCGGGTTGTGTCTTTATTGGATCAGTGGCATAGCCATCGAAGTGCGCATTGGAGCCCACGGAGCTGCGAGGTGCCCAGGCGCAGGCTACAGAGAGGAGGGAAATCGGGCACGGGGGGGGGGGGTTGGTGGGCATTTAATTCATTTTGGTACCAGGTACCACATCAAGCACGCAATAGATGTTTGTGCCGTCACAAAATGTAAAGTCTCTTCCCCTTAAAGGCTGCAGCCGCTTGAAGTCAACGCTCTCACGCAGTTTCACATCCCCGGGTCTTATGAGTTGCTGTTACGGTGGCGTATCTCCCCGTGTCTCACAGCACAGTCGTGATGGTGATGAGCATGATAATGAGTGATGATGATTATTAGAATCATGATTCATGATGATGATGTTGACCATAATTATGGTGATGATTGTGGTGATTAGTTATGATGATGAGGACAAAAATGACTATGAAGAGCCATGATGATATGATGATGAACATGATGACAGATGATTTGTGGTTATGCTGCGTTATTTATATCACACTCCGACATCCTTTCTCATGTGGTGGGTACCCAATAGGCCCTGTTTAACGGTGCCCCTGCAACCACTTAACGTCTAATCCCAATCTGAGCAGCTCTTCCATCCAGTAAAATATATATCCACTATTATCTCAGCGGGAATTCTTGAACCAAAAAAGAAAAACGAGAGACACAAAAAACACAAACTCTTTCCAGGCCAGATGATGGCTGGGCATGCATGATTGTTCTAAGCGTGTTCACTCCAGCTGGCTCGATGCCATTTCGGATTGTGTCCAACACATCTCAGCAACAAAGTAAATTCACGTTTCACCTTTCAAACCATTATGAGACTACAATTCAAGTGCCGCAAGCTCGTACGTATTTTTTCCGGGTTTTTGTGTGTGTTATATGCGTGCGTTATTGTCCATACGCCGTGGTAATGTCTGCATTGTCATTTTTTTCAATGGGCCTTGTGAATGCAATGCAAAGATAAAGCCCACGGACACGCATGTTTTTGTACTCGTGGTGATATTTTTTTCTCTTTGCGAGAAAGCTCTTTTTATTAGACGGAGCGCAACAAATCTCGGGAGGAAATCCGTGGAAGCAAGCCCGTGGGCCCCAGATTGTTGCCTTAATGTTTGTGTGAGAGGGGGGTGAATATGTGGGAGGGGGGGGGGGGGAGAACGGGGGGCAGGGAGCAGTGAGTGGAGGCTCCAGGGTGAAGAATGGTTGGGGCAGTGCGAGAGAGAGAGAGTGGAGAAAGGCCGTCGGGACAGCTCTGGGTGCAGAAATTGCTTTATTTTTAAATTTTCAACTTTTGTACTGCAGCTTAATTCTTAATGTACTGGCATTGCACGTTGATATCCAGGATATATTCTTAAAGCATGCACTTTTTCAATTGTATTTATTAGGAGTTCATTAATACAATCCTATAATAACGAAATACACTTAGGTACACTGCAATGCACAAGAACACAATACAACGCATTACATCTGCAATACAATGCTACCCAATACAACAATGATATATGAAACACTATTCTGGGAAGTACAGCTGACGGATGTAAACTTTTTTGTTACAATTTACATAAGCTGCTGATAGACTTATGATAAAAGCCCCAGCAAATGATTGTCCCAAACTTAAATTTAAGGAGGAAATTGGCGGTGCGACAGTTCGCTCGATGTACTCTGAACCCAGCGACCTGAGTTCGATTCCCGATCGCGTTTATGATCAACGATGAGTTACATCAGCAACGGTCCTGAGCACCACCCTGCACCAACCCACATTGACCAGCGTAGCGAAGTATGGCAAAACAACCCCCATGACTTACACGCACGGTATGAGAATTTCCTCCAACAGTGGACTGACAAAGTGGGCTGCACTTTGTTTCATATTGGAGTCAAAAGTAAAACTGGGAAATAAATATACGGGTAACCGACAAAGCCACTGGCCAATCACTTTCACTCCGTATGTGATCGGACGTTGTGATGTGTCGCCTTCTTAAACCAACAAACGGCATCTGTATCTTAAACCAACAAACGGCATCTGTATCAGCTAAAACTGTGGATCGACTGTACCACTGCTAGGCTAGTGCTCACGATACGCTTGTATACGCCACGTGGGCAAACACTGCACTCTGTCAGTCTGCGTCGGACGTGAATGGCTGGCTCTGTCGTTCCTCGACGCCAGGGAGTGTCTGGCAACAGACGAGGCAACATCAAAGAAGAGGCACTCGAGATGTTGAGACTCTCCCTGGAAATACAAAAAAAAAACCCGTGTGTACGTACATGGTGTATACACACGCGTGGGCCTTTCATATTTAGGCAGGCGTGGAAAACACTGTGCAGGTGTCTTTTGGAAACATTCTACATGCAGGAAAAGTGCAAGTCTGAGGTCCGTCGGATAAGTGTGTGCGTGTCCCTCCACAATAGCCTTAATTCATGTTACCAAAAGCCCAAGCAGTCATTATGGCAACAGCCGTACGGCAAGCAGTTCCTGCTTCGTGTCAAAAATAGGTACATTTGTGGAATTGTTTTTTATTCAACTGTGGTACTGTAATGCGTGCAATATGTTCCCCCAAAATTGAACCAAAAAAAACTGCTAGTGACGAACAAGTGCAAATCAACAAATATTTGCCGAATTCATCATTAACACCGCCCTTGAGCATAAATCCATATTACAATAATATTGGTATTAATTCACGACTTGGTAAAGCCCTCCCCACGCAGTTTCAGTCGTGGGGGTTATTTGCCCATGTGGCTGGGAATCGAACTTAGGTGACCTTGTTTATAGCGAAGTGCACTAACCACTGCTCCTCACCCCATATTTTGGCAGTCACATGACCTTACGGTAGAGCATTCGTTGCGTGCTGTAGAGGTTTCACGGTTCCAATCCAGCGGCTGCCCTGGTTATTACTGCGGTGTGTAATAACTGTAAAAATTCGCTACGTGTCGTCTCGTGCACGGTGAGCGTTAAAGAGCCCTCTGCATCAGTAGCAAGCTTAGCCCATCGCGTGCCGGTCTCATGATCCAAAATAAAATGTAAAAACTGCCCACAAATGACTAAATTGGGATGAATGGTAGTAATAATCGCCCCCTACGATAAAAAACTTGGCAGGACCCACGTGAAAAAGGGTCATGAAACTCAGTGAGGCTTGCTGGGTAATCAAGCATAGTAATAATAATATATTGAATATGTGTCTGAAAGATGGGGTGATGGCATTGATCCTTCTTCGGAACAGAGATTGCTCCGAAAATGGATCTTTGCCTGAAACATAAGCCTATTCAAGTATACATTTCTGTCAAAAGTCATTGCATTCTTTCATTAGTGTTTTCCCTTGGTTGTGACCGATGCCGTGAACATAGCAGGCTGTTGTGCCTTAAGCCCTGCCGACACTTTACACGACCAACGCTTACACAAGCAAAACACTAATACGTTCCTGTGCTCGGTCGAGTCAACAAAAGGGACATCCCTTTAAAACAAATATGCACGCTTGTTTAAATTAGAATTCGGATGTTGTAACAGAGTACGAACCATCGAGCCAGTAGCAAGGGGCAAGTGCTGGGAGCCACCGGTGCCCTTACAGCAGCGCTAACCCTTCGGACCCCGAGAGGTTAAAGCGCAAGAAAAAATGCATAGAGCTCGATTTCTCGCGCAACAATTAAAGCTCAAACCCCCTAACCGGGTGCAATATTCACCGTGTAAATGGAGCACCTTGAGCAAACACTCTGTGTGGTCCCAAAGAAGGAGGAAGAGCGGGGGGGGGGGGGGGAGGACCCTTCGCTTTTGAGTATTTTCATTGGACGAGAGCGTTTTTGTTTTTATAAACGCACGGGCGGCACACGGAGACAGCCACGTTGCTTGGCTGCCCAGATCAGCGTGGGGTGCGAGATCTCACCGCTCGTGAAGAATGTAATCTCGGCTTTAGTGTAATCTGAGAAAAGTGTTCTGCCAGGTTTCCACATCTGCTGACTTTGCAAAGAAAAGCCATGCTCTTCACAAAAGGAGGAATAAGTGCGTTATAATGTAACGATTCCGTTAAGTTGATTAGTCGACAAAAAATTGTAATTGACTACTTTTTGTTTGTTCTCAATGACTTGTGCCTCTTTAAAAAGGGCGACCACCCCTACATTCTGCCTCCCGAAGGCAGGCAACCCCCAGCAAGCCACGCCCAGCGTGACGCGGATGGCGATGATGATGTCACCAAGCCACGCCCATCACCTCCCATCTAGCGGTACACTCTTTTTTCAACTATTTCTTGTTTTCCGATTATAAGTAATGGAATCGATTATCGGTAGAATAATCAATTACAAACATGATTGGACGCCCCCAACTCCAGACACAATGCTTCTTTTAGTGGGGCGCCGCGGTGGCGAGATGTTCACTAACTTGAGTGGTATACAAGAGGTCATTGGTATGACCCCGACCCTGAAGCCTTTATATTTGGAGTTTGCCGGTTCCCCCCGTGGTTGCGTGGATTTTTCTCCGGCTCATCCGGTTTTGCCCTCCACATTTAGAATCAACATGTGTTGAGAGTATTTGGCTGCTGTAAATATCCACGTGATAACCCACTTCGTTGCGCAATCATTTGTGGGCAGGTCGACTCTGAAAAAGAACTACATAGCTGAGTGGGCCTAACCTGGAAAAAAATTTAAAGATAACAGAAATGAACGTTCGGTGATGCTTAACTCGAACTCAGTAACCTAGTTCGCAACAGAAGGTGCCGCTTTCGGTCTCGCGTGATCGTCTCTCACGCTCTCGCCGAGCGAAAAACTCTTCCTGCGCAGTCGCGTAGCATGCCTCTGGAACGCAGCAAGTCTTGCGCATCCACGCTGGGTCAGTGGCACAGATGTCCTGGTTCTGGGAGGGATGCCCAAACCAATGTCTTGTAATGCCTTCATTCTCTCTGTGTTTTTATCCTTGTCTGCCAGGGGCTTTAAATGCTCTCACTTTTGGCTCACGGGACTCCAATTTTCCATATTTCCAGACATCTTTCTGTCTTACGCTCTCCTTTCTCTCAATCTTTTTATATTTTCATTTTGCCTTTTTTTTACTTATCCATGCTTATAAGTATATGACAGTATCTGTCCATATTATTATCAGTCCTTGGGGGGGTGGGGAAGGCAGAGGGGTGGGGGGAAAGGGGCACAAAAACATGGAACCAATCATTCGTGTTTATTTTACCAGGTAAGGCCCACTGAGCTATTGAGTTCTTTTTCAGAAGCCACCTGGCCACCAAGTGGCTTATCTTGTGGAAATGTATAGCAGCCAAATACTCTTAAACGAATATTCTTTGGGTCTTTCGGTAAAGTCACGTAGATAAAAATAAAAATATCACGACGTTTCGATCGCAAGCAATCGTCATCAGGCAGAAGACTTTACCGAAAGACCCAAAGAATATTAATTCCTGCAGTCACGAAAGCTTTAAGTCAAGATCTTAAACGCATGTTGATTCTAAATGGGGGGGGGGGGGGAATTGTATACCCAGAGAAAAATCCATATACAAACTACAAATATACAGGCGTCAGGGTCGGGATCCATCCCACGACCTCCTGCCTCCTGTAAACTGGGCAAGGTGGTTAACATCTCGCCACCGTGACGCCCCCGGTTCTGCGCGTATTGGTTTTGGCGGTGGAGTGTGTGGAGGGCCAGCGGCTGGCTTGCGGTTAGCAGTGGAGAGGCGGGGACACCCAGAGACAGAAGCGCGGACAAGCAGTTGGCAGCCGCTTGGCCGATAAGGTCAGAGAGGCTGCACTCTGGGGGTCTGGAGGAAAGGCAAATACGAATGACTTCTCATAAAGAGCACGAGCGAATGAGGAAGGATTGCACAAACATTCCAAAAAAATTCCTCATCCGTTTAAACAGTGGCAGCTTCTTTTATCTGCGCAAAGCCGAGATCAAAAAGGGGGCCCGTGATTTATTCCGTGGTTTGTTTAGTTTTGGCGGTGATGCCACTTAACAAAAGGGGTCACATTTGGATAAGCTACATTATTCACAGCTGGGGATCTCGAATACACAAGGGAGTGTTCGCTAAATATTACATACGTATATATTTAAGCTTTAGTTTAAAGTTAAAATGGAAATAACATGGTATTGAAATGAGCACGTGAGGATTTATGTTTTTAATCGAATAAGTCTGAAATAAAGTAAAAATAATAATAACGGACATATTCCGCCGCTGTGTTCGCGTTGTGCTCTTGTTGTCAGACGCGTCATCAAGCGAAGCTGCAGAGAAAAAATTCATGGAAAAAAACTGAAAGATGTCACAACAATTAAATGCAGGCACGTGTTACATTTGTCCTGTGATTAATGTAAACACAGCTTAAAAATCAACAACAAAAAACACCAAGCAGACGCTTTCAAAACTCAACCTGCCACTCAAAACATTCGGTTTAATCTTGTTCAATCCACAACATCCTTGACACGCAGACATTCTGCCAATATAAATCCCCTTTGCAAAGAGAAGAAAATACTGGTATGGTGCCATTGTAACCAAATGAGAGCCAATTATTGTGCCAAAAACGTTTTTAACTGCTGGTTTACGTAGTGAGAGGCAGACGGCAATATTTTGTTGCACCGTACATCTATGTTCCCACATAGATGCTCCCCTCCTTCACAAGCACCCCCCCCCCCCCCCCCCACTGAGCAGCATAGCAAAGAAATGTCAAAGATCAAATTTCCCACCACGACTGGCACGGCACTGAGAGGCCTTCAACCAGCAATGGATTGTCGACAAAAGGCTATAATAGGTACATTCATTTTCGTGATACATTTGTATTCTCAGATTTGTATGCTGGTGTTATTGTAGCCTTTGTTTTGTCTGCTATTGCTCGTGCTGATCGCTCCAGGACACTGATGAAAAATGAGAGGTTTCATCTCACAGGGCTTCCCCTGTTCAAATATTTAAAAGTAATAAAGGAGGAAGACAGTTTTGACAACTTTGTTTGTCCTCATCGACAATTCAATGGAACTGGTATTGGCCAATCGTCTCAATGCCGAACAATCGTCTGCAAATTACTCAATTGGGACGGCATTGGGCAACATCGCCCCCTGCTGCGAAAACAAACTTGGCAGGACTCTCCTGAAAAGAGAGTTTCAGACGCAGTGAAGCATTTCACGGGTAAAAAAAATGCGTAATAATAATGATAAAAAATATGAAGGTTCTTCCAGACCATAGCATGAGAATGGAATTCCTGGGACTGCTCCTCGGGACCTCACATGAGCACATTAGGTGGCCCTGGCTCTGCTTGTGGTTATTGTTTGGGGTTTTTTTTGGTCGACTCTGCCTCTTTCCATGCGGACATTCCATCGCAGACCCTCGCCGGCACGGGCTTCGTGTGTGCCGTGTGAGTTCGTCACGGTAGATTAGAGAAACATTCAGACGCGCGGGGGGGTGGGTGGGTGGGGGGAACAGTTCGCCAAAGCCAAATCCAGCCGGCAATAAAAAAAAATCAATCCTACATCTCACCGAAACTAAAAATAAACCGAGGGGTGGTCTGCCGCTAAATATATTTCTAACATTTTAACCGCCTCGATTCTTTTTTTTTCTTTAACCGTGTGGCTGAGCATACCTTCCTCGTAAAATCACAACTCCTTTATTGACAGCTGTGGTCAAGTTGTAGTGGCTGAAGAGTTGGGCTGCAATCAAGGGTTGGGTGTGGGGAGTGTGCATTCAATCACACGCAACTGTGTGTTCGCCACGTGGAGTCTATGATCATCAGCAGCTGCGGGCGCCACGGTCAACGGGCAGCTGGTAGCGGATGCCACCTTTCACGATCCTTCGTTGAAATCATGAAGCTTAGCACCTGCAAACAAACGGATTTCGCTCCATCTCATCAGTGGACATACTCACAAACGCATTCCATTCCTTGGCCGCCACTCCGTTCCTACTCTTGACTATTGCCCATGATTCCTTCTCGTGATGGTGTCCTGCCGAAGCCTGTGGACTTTTCCTTCATGATTGATGTCATGAACATGCGTGCGTTTCCTAATTCTTCTTGCTATCTCTCTCTCAATTTGATTTAAAGTGTGCAATGTAGTCCATGAGCCAATGAAATTCTCAATCGTAGAATTTACTGAACTATTTTGAGCCTTATTTGGTCATACTGGGATAGCAACTAAATTTCAACTCTTCAGCCTAATCACATTTGAATAAAACTTGCCAGCTTTTCAGAGTATAATGTTCTTTATTTATAGCCGGATAAAAATGCAATAACGTGCAATTATCATTTTAGCGAACACTAACGTGGGTCCAAAAGAATGCCATGCATTATTAATCAATAGCAAATACATGATCTAATAATGTGTGCATGTAAATGTGTGTGTGAGGGAGCGGTAGTGTAGTGGTTAGCGCTACGCTGCGCTACGAACCTGGCGACCCGGATTCGATTCACGCTCACGGCTAGGTCGACTCAGCCTCAAATGAGTACCTGGTGCGATGTGTAAACATCGCCACTAGGGAGTCAAAGGCGTTCGGGCGTGGTGTTGGCCACCCACCCCCTCGTGTGCCGTGCCGGCCTTTATAGGTGCTCGCTAACAGCACTTGCCCCTACAGTCTGTTAAGGCTATACAGGGGATCTTTGTCTTTGTTTATCTTTGTGTGTGACAGCAGCAGTGGGATTTTAATTAAAAACGTAATTCAAATAAAAATAATTCATCACAAAAAAAAAGGTTATTTCATTATACTTTCTTGGCAAAAACCCGTTTGCGTCTTTGCATAAGTCCCCTGTGTGGAACATTAGCAACAAGGAGCGCATGCCAAGATGCGAGCCCCTGGGACCGCTTCTTGGGCGCACGAAGTGCAGTGAAGCAGATAATACCGAGCAGCAGCAGCAGCACGGCAAAGCGAACCCCAGATTGTCACACTCGCCAGAGCTCTTAAGTTATGCGCGTGCATCTCCCTGTGAACAGCTCCTTATTAACGGCAAATTCCCGTAAATGCAATCTTCAAAGGGCGCCACCGCGAGTTTCCCCCCAAAAACTGCCGCGTGTAATGTCTAGCACATGAGACCTGGCGGCTTTTGGAATCGACGCACGTTTGATGGCTTTTTCCAACGGTGTCCATGTTGATTTCCCTTACCTTGCCGTTGAAGAAGGTGCTTCTTGCTTGCAGCGGTTGTCGGGCGCGGGGTGCGGTGGAGGCGGTGAGATTACATCTGCCACAGGGGAATTTGTTTTGTGGTAGTAAATGAACGGAAACCTCCTGCTCAATGTCACCCTTTCATGCACCTTTTA